ATACAGAGGCCAAAAAAAACTATTTGTTGCAAGCCCAGAGCTGGACTGGTTTAATGCTTATCAAAACGTATTAAAATGATGCATAAAACCTGATGAACCAAGACCTAACACAGTGGACCACATTTTGTTTCATGATTAAATGAATAATCCAATATGTTCTTATGTCTCTGTGCGGCCGGTTCTAATACAATAAAATATCATCCCGGGGGCCAAGATAATACATTTGCAGGCCGGATCTGGTCCCCGGGCCTTGACTTAGACACCCATGTCATAGATGATCACTATATAAGTTAAAAGCTAGAGCAGGCCTGGGCACACGACCCCTGAGAGCCACATTAAAGCTCGTATCGGCTGGACCTTATTTCTTATGTTATTCTCACGCTTAGTTTTTCTTCACATCTAAATGTATTCCGTCAAATATTAGAAACTGTGGCGGAAGAGCTTTGCACGCAGCATAAAGGGGTTTTATACACTGCAAAAAATGATCAAATATGAGATGATAATTGCTAGAATCGAGTTTTTTTAACTTGACTTAAGTTCATTCTGACTGTCTTAAAATGAGATTTGCCAATGAGACAAGCAATTTGGACTTGATTCAAGAACTATTGCTTTATTTTCTCATTCCAAGAGAAAAATATCTTCTATCTTTGTAAAACAAGACAATTTTTCTTGTTCCACTGGCCAATCTTGTTTTAAGGCAGTCAAAATGTGCTCAAATTTAGATACATTTAGCTAAATTTTAGCATTTTTTTGTCTTTAAGTCTGTCATATTTTGCAGTGTAGTCATTATGCTGTATCTGTATAAACTGAGGAGGGCTCAGGGGCCTGATAGAGGCTTCCAAAGGGCCGCATCTGGTCCTGGAGCCGGGGTTTGCCCACTGAGCTGGAGGTCCATAACTGATCCTCACCTGAATCTATTCCTTCGTAAGTATTATTATTATTATTATTATGTGTTTATTTAATAGGGCCAGAACAAGAAGCATTGTTACAGGAACCGATGCTGTGTTCGTTGGCCGTATCGCTAACAGCTAGTTAGCAGACCTGGTCCCTAAGACATTTACATTGACATCTGGTGCCTACCTTGGTTACTTGAGAATCAAACTGGTTACTTGAGAATCAAACTTGTGCACATCAATGTTAATGTATTTTATTTTTTCTGCTTTTGTGCTAATGCCTGCTGCCGTTGTAATTCTGTTGTGTGTAATTGTCTATGGTGTAGCGTTTGTGCCGAATTTTAACATAGGTTGTGTGGGAGCTCATACTAATGAATTGTTTTATCATTTTTAGGTTAATAATGATTGTTGTTGTTATTGTTATATATTGTTGGCAATCTACATCTTGCCCAGGGACTACAGTTGAAAATTAGCTTTGGAGCTAAAACTGGCACATTTACAGTGATGTTAATTAATGTGCATTGTCCCTGTTTAAATAAACTAATAATAATAATAATAATAATACCTATTTTGCATATTTTGTGTGCTCCGTGTGTGCTCTTGCTACTGTCCTGTCTGTGCGCTGCAACACTGAAATTTCCCCTCTGTGGGACTAATAAGGAGTCTCTTATCTTATCTTATGAGGGTGAGCTGGATATGTCATTTATGTGTATTAATAATGTAAATCCAAGGAAAATATTATCATTGAAGTAAAACAAACAAGAGATCCAAACATGTGTGCGCTTAAGATTCTGGCATTTTATAAAAAACTAATAATTCATGAAGCTTCAAAATAATTTAGAATGTTTTCAAATATGCAGAGCAGTCAACAAAAGTGAGCGCTTAATATTGCAGCAGAAGCACTTAGGAAAGTTTGGGCCGTATATAGAAACCAAACTCCTCCTCTCCGATATTAAAGTCGTAATTTCACTTCAGAGACTTTATGAGAAACTTCAGGGATTTGAAAGTCTTAAGTCGTCTGAGATTCTCTCTGATTAAAACGGGCCCCGGAGAAGCAGCACTTCTGAACACGATCAACAATGAAATGTTCCTGCTACATGCTAGGTCTGTCATCAGCAGGTTTTAGTTTTAATAATAATAATAATAATAATAATAATAATGCAAAGTGCTTTTTGGACGCTCAAAGATGCTTTATTATGTCATTATGCATTCACTCCATGATAAACTACTATAGAACTATAAACTACTATAGAAGCCACAGCTGCCCTGGGACACACTGGCAGAAGCGAGGCAACCAGTCTGTGCCATCTGACCACCACCAACCATTCACACACGCACCAGACTCATTCTAATGTGGGGGAAGTGTCTTGCCCAAGGACACAACAACCGCTTGGCACTTTACAGCCGCAGCCGCCCCACTGTGGCACCTGCTGTTCCCAGAGGTCTCCCATCACAGTGCTAATTAGGCCCCGCTCTGCTTAGCTTTCAGAGGACAGGATCTGGCTTTCACCTGCAGGTAGCGTCACGTATGCTAAAGAAATACTGCCGCCACAGCTGCCCTGGGGTAGACTGAGAAAGTATGGCTCCCAATATGTGCCATGGGCCTCTTTGACCACCCTGGGAATTCAATCATGCAACAGACTGATTCTAGACAATGTGGATGAAGTGTCTTGCCAAGGGACACAACACCAGTTCAGCACTTTACGGCCTGATCTAAATATACAAACAGTCTCTGGCAAAGGAACTCATTTGGATTGACTTTGATGTTGTGCTCTCCCTCTTCCTCTTTCATCCTCATTTCTCCAACAGCTTTGTCCTGACCATATCTCTCCAGCACAGACCAAAACACCAGTTCAAAAACCAGTTCCAACCGGTCGAGCCCACCCGTCGAGCCCACCTGCTGCTACAAACGCCACCGCAGTCGCTCAGACCTGATTTTACATCAACAGAGAATCTGCTTAAGTGAATTATACCGAGATGACGGACCATTTTGGAAAGGATACAAGATGCAAGAATTGATTTGCCAATTGCAGTAAAACCACATTGGAAAAACTGTGCAAGACCACCCCAGTGTGCACCAGACAGAGAAGATAGTGTAGGGCATCCATCCACAGAAACCGTCTCAGAGGCGGCATCGCGGTGTGCTAAGAGCCCGTACTCTCTCTGTCTACAATGGTATAGTGCAGGACCTGTAGCTCGGGAGCCGCTAGTAGCTCACCACCCCCTTCCAGGTAGCTCGCCAAGGGATTTAGAAATGAATCAACTCAACTAATATACTTCATATTTCAGATTGTATTATTCATCTTCATTATGTATTACTGTAAATGCACTTACTTTGTGCAGTAGTGACAAAAATGCGATAATAAATAATGACTGAATCCGAGATACGACTCGTTCTCACTAATATATCACCACATTTTTTCTCAGGGCCGCTCAAAGCAGTAGCTCTCTGCCCTTATTGTTCCAGGAAAGTAGCTCTCTGGGTGAAAAAGGTTGGAGACACCTGGTATACAGCTGTTTGGAGCTAAGAAGTGGCTAAATGAGAAGGGACAATTTTCTGAAAGAGTTTTGTGAAATATATTAGTGCAGGCATGTCTAGGGCAGCCTGATGTGTCATTTTCTGTGGTTATCTGCTTCATTAACCGACAATTAGCTAATTTCAATAATAACTTTACCTCTGCCAATACAGTCCTGCTTTACCGCATTGTTAAGCTCAAAACATGGCCCTGAGGCAAGAAGGTCCTAGGTTCGAATCCCGGTCAGAACAGGGCCTTTCTGAGTTCTTCCTGCGTCTGCGTAGGTTTCCTCTGGGTGCTACGGTTTCCCCGACCACGAAAAACATGCACAATAGGTCTGAATGTAATGAGTGATTGATTGGATAGTGTTTGGTCAGAGGCTTTGATGGACCAGTGTGTTCGGCCTCTCGCTTCTGTCATCACCGTGTGGAGAGAATGGAACAATATCTCAACTCTGAGCATTTTAAAGCTTTGGTTGACCTTGGTCTGTGATAAATGCGCTATATAATAAAAGATTCCTTACATACCACTTTCATTCTGCCATTAACTTTGTCAGACTAAAGGCCTAAGGACAGCGGTGATGATCCAGGACACTCAACATTTATTCACATTTAAAGTCATTCGCACCAAAATGGACAAATGGCTCTATGGGATTTTTAGAAAGTGGAAAACGTTGCAGATCTGACTCCGTGACAGGTGAGAACCCCCTGACCCCCCTGTGAACAAGAGGGGGGAGAATCTGAGAGATGTTTGGCTGTGAGCCCCAAAGTCACAGTAAACCATGAATCCTCTCTGCTCTGGTCTGGACCAGTGTAAAACCATGAATCCTCTCTGCTCTTGTCTGGACCAGTGTAAAACCATGAACCCTCTCTGCTCTGGTCTGGACCAGTGTAAAACCATGAATCCTCTCTGCTCTGGTCTGGACCAGTGTAAAACCATGAATCCTCTCTGCTCTGGTCTGGACCAGGGAATGGAAACAGTCAAAATGACGGCTCTGGGACTTTTAGTAGTTTCAGAAGTCTGAGAGTCCTGTCATTATTTATGATATTAATGCCCTGTATTGTCTTTTTTTGTTAGGTACTTTGAAGTAGCAATATGTAATATTGAATGTCAAGTCATCATTAAAGGGCCCTAATCTGTCAAAAGACATGAATAAAACCTGCTCTTTTCCAATACTTTAACTGAACTTAGTTCAGAGATATTTGGATTCCAAAATGAGTTTTCCAGCCCCTAAATCTTGTTATTGTTTTCATTTCGATGTCCCGCCCTCCATCGTTTCACCAATTAGAAATCTCACTGGTAAAGTACCATGTGGCCACAGAATTAGAAAACCAGGATTTCTATCTTTGTGAAAAAGGTGTTGGTTATAGATTTGTTGTTGACAAAACTCTTGTCTATTCAGCTGTTATGGTCCCAGCTGGATTCGTCTGCATATCTGGCAACCTGAGGGAGAGTGCAGTACCACTTTTGGGCATACTGCTCCTTTAAGTTTCCTTGTGTATGATGTGTGGCATACAAATAAACTTGCCTTGCCTTAAATACCATAAGTCGAGCCTCTGATGGTGTGTGTTGATGGTGTGTGTTGTTGCAGGCCGCGCTCTGATGCGTCTGACCGACAGGAAGCTGGAGCGCATGGGCATCATGCAGGAGGCGCAGCGGCAACACATCCTGCAACAGGTTCTACAACTGCGGGTGAGAGAGGAGGTGCGCACACTGCAGCTGCTCACACAAGGTACGCACACGCTACACACTGCTCACACAAGGTACGCACACACAGCTACACACTGCTCACACAAGGTACGCACACACAGCTACACACTGCTCACACAAGGTACGCACACACAGCTACACACTGCTCACACAAGGTACGCACACGCTACACACTGCTCACACAAGGTACGCACACGCTACACACTGCTCACACAAGGTACGCACACACAGCTACACACTGCTCACACAAGGTACGCACACACAGCTACACACTGCTCACACAAGGTACGCACACTGCAGCTGCTCACACAAGGTACGCACACACAGCTACACACTGCTCACACAAGGTACGCACACACGCTACACACTGCTCACACAAGGTACGCACACACACTACACACTGCTCACACAAGGTACGCACACGCTACACACTGCTCACGCAAGGTACACACACGCTACACAATGCTCACACAAGGTACGCACACGCTACACATTGCTCACGCAAGGTACACACACTGCAGCTGCTCGCACAAGGTACACACACTGCAGCTGCTCGCACAAGGAACGCACACTGCAGCTGCTCACACAAGGTACGCACACTGCAGCTGCTCACACAAGGTACGCACACACAGCTACACACTGCTCACACAAGGTACGCACACACGCTACACACTGCTCACACAAGGTACGCACACACACTACACACTGCTCACACAAGGTACGCACACGCTACACACTGCTCACGCAAGGTACACACACGCTACACACTGCTCACACAAGGTACGCACACACAGCTACACACTGCTCACACAAGGTACGCACACACACTACACACTGCTCACACAAGGTACGCACACACAGCTACACACTGCTCACGCAAGGTACACACACGCTACACACTGCTCACACAAGGTACGCACACACAGCTACACACTGCTCACACAAGGTACGCACACACACTACACACTGCTCACACAAGGTACGCACACACAGCTACACACTGCTCACACAAGGTACACACACACTACAACGTGCTACACACTGCTCACACAAGGTACACACACACTACAACGTGCTACACACTGCTCACGGATTCATTTGATTTGAGTGGATTTAACTCCTTTTGTTGATGATTTGGGATTTTTCTATTTTTGCCAAACGCTGTGAAAAGTGTCTTGAACCATTTCCTGTCCGTTCCGTTCCAGGCCGTGCTCGTTCAGATTTGTCCTGGTTTGAGCTAGGGCTGTGACGATATATCGATTTTTCGATATATCGCGATACTTTCTCCCGCGATTCGATTATTGATATGCATTTGCCAAGTATCAATATCGATTTTGAAAAAAAAAAAAAAAACATTTATTGGTATCAATACTCAATATATGGCTGCATACATGAAATAAAGAGTATTTTTTCTTTTATTTATGCCATAAATTGGCATATTTCTGACCAATATATCAATAATTGTCATATCGTAATATCGTTATCGTGAGCTTTGTATCGTGTATCGTATCGTATCGTGAGGTACCCTTAGGTTCCCACCCCTAGTTTGAGCTAAGTTTAGTCCCTTTATTTTCTCCTGGGGTCTTATTCAGAATGTATTTAATGTTGTATTCGTAACATTCCACATTAATGTGATCTCATCCTTTTTGGAAATTGTCCTTTTTGGTCCAAAACTTTGCCTTTTTAATTTTAAAAGTTGGAGATGTCTGCAGAGATGAGGCAGAATGTGATTGGTGCAAAATAAGAAGTGAATGAGTTTTAAAATACATCCATCAAATGTGAACGCTTTTATAACTTGAATGAATTATTATCCTCGATCTGTGCCAAACTGTAAAAAAACAGATATAAACATTCTATGTTTCCCAGGGGCCAATCGTAAGCAACCGTTAAAAAAATAGACTTTTATATGCAACACAACTTAAGTCTAGAAAATACTTAGGCTTTGTAGCCAGGTCTTACCACACCATTGTACTCATTTCATTTGCACTAAGGTCTGGATCTGCTCCATTGACGCCGTTAACAGGTGGGAGATTGAAACCATTGGATCTGAGTTTACTGTGACGTATGTAATGAGCCCGAGTGAGTGAGGCAATTAGCATTTAGCCTAGCTTTAGCATGTAGCCTAGCTTTAGCATTTAGCCTAGCTTTAGCATGTAGCCTAGCTTTAGCCATCTCCTTTGTCACTAACGGAGCCCGTGGGGAGTAGAGCCACAACATCTTTGCTTCAATGACATTTACTAAACTTTCCTCTTGCTCCGGCTTCAGTTTCTTGATATTTGGATTGAACCAGAAAAGATTATTTTACTATCGCATTCTCCGACAAACTACAACCAGCAAATTCAGCACAAACCTACAACACCCGCCTCCCCCGCTCTCTGATTGGTCGGAGGAGATTCAACCGAGGAAACTGCAGCCACTAGGATCAGACCCAGACGTACATGTAGGAAATGATCATGGACCAGAGTTTACACATGGTAAGACCAGACGTACATGTAGGAAATGATCATGGACCAGAGTTTACACATGGTAAGACCAGACGTACATGTAGGAAATGATCATGGACCAGAGTTTACACATGGTAAGACCAGACGTACATGTAGGAGATGACCATGGACCAGAGTTTACACATGGTAAGACCAGACGTACATGTAGGAAATGACCATGGACCAGAGTTTACACATGGTAAGACCAGGCTCAATGCGTTATGTGTTTTATGGAAAATCAACAGGTTGTACTTGTTCTTTAGACTCTGAAGGTCTTTCAAGTTCGAGTTCTTTGCCGAGTTACTTTTTGTTTTGTGAACGAGGAACAATTATTTTTTGTTAATCTAATCTTATTCACCAACTTTCTAAATAAATACATGTTGTCACACAGTTTGTCCCCGAGGTCGCTATGATATTTTTGTGTTGTATATTTTGTCACGTCGTCAGTGTTTAAAGTGGATAATGGATGAGTGGCATCTCTCTGGGCTCCATCATAATTCATGTGTTTCTCTGAACCATCTGCGGCGTATTTCAGAGCCTCAGGAAGTGGTGGATATGGAACGATGACGTAACCTCTGTCGCTGATCGATGGAACATACTGTGCGGAAAAGAACCCATGACCTTCGTGTCTTTCAGGATTAAGATTCAGAGATGGGGGAATTTCAGTGTTGCATCACAAGTTACAGAACAGTTGGAAGGAGGAGCACACAAGAAGCAACAACTCTTTACTAAAATAAATATATACAATCTCTAACTTTGGCATAAAAAATAAGTTAGTGTAAAATCTCTATTAGCCTAATAAAAAGCAAATTGAAAATGTCTAGCTTCATTATGATATAGAAACAAGTATAAAATCTCTATCTTTAGTATATTAAAGGAGCAAATCTGAAATATATGGCTTTAGCATAACAAAGAAGCTAGGATTATTGAAACCAAACTGCAGATTTTGTGACTGGTAAACTAAAAGCAGATTTCATCTTGATCATCGAAGGTCTTTGAAAATCATACAATTGCATATTGCCGCCGCCCAGTGCTGAAATATTTTACATGAGGGGTCTCCAACCTTAAACCGGAGAGGTACTGTTATACAAATTAAGTGCAGTTGTAACAAATGAATATCTAATAATTACGACAAACCGTGGAGAAAACATGCAAAATATATATAACCCTGTAAAACCCTGTATTTGTATTGTAATAGATGTGTAATGACTAGAAATGTGTTCAATCAAGGTCATTTGTCAAATTCTATATCCTTTGGCGAGCTACCTGAAAGGGGCTGGCGAGCTACTGCTTGCTCCCGAGCTATAGGTTGGAGACGCCCGTTTTACATGAAATAGATTTGTGGATTTATTTCTATCCCAAATTGTAAAGTAATTTATGACTTAGGGCTATTTACCAAAAACAATATGGATACAAATAATCTAATGGTTCATGTAGGGCTTTTGTGGACAGTCAGTTACTTCACATCATTCAGTTTCACAGTGGAAAGAAACTACCAGGCTCATTCTAATGTGGGTGAAGTGTCTTGCCTAAGAACACAGTAACAGTTATGGCACTTTACAGCCGCAGCCGCCCCACTGTATCACCTCCTGGCGTTTCCAGAGGTCTCCCATCACTGTACTAACTAAGCCGTGCGCTGCTTATCTTCAGCGGTCTGATGAGATCTGGCTTTAACCTGCAGGTGGCGCCACAAAGTATGGATAAATGGGCTTCTACCACCAACAGAAGGTGTGGAGATTTTTTATTTTTTTCCAAAGAACGTTTTGTCTCGGGGGTAATCGCTAAAACTAGTGTGGAGAGAATATGTTGTTTTAAACGGCAAAATCACAGCTCTGAACATGAAGTAACAGGTTTGAGACCAAGTTGTTCTGTAGTTACAGGAAAACCGTCAAAAACACAACGGGACACATTCTGTTTCCATTCAACTGTGGTTTGAAGTTGTTTTTCTCTTGTCACGGGCCAGGCCCTTAGTGTCCAGGCCCTTAGTGTCCAGGCCCTTAGTGTCCAGGCCCTTAGTGTCCAGGCCCTTAGTGTCCAGGCCCTTAGTGTCCAGGCCCTTAGTGTCCAGGCCCTTAGTGTCCAGGCCCTTAGTGTCCAAGCCCTTAGTGTCCAGGCCCTTAGTGTCCAGGCCCTTAGTGTCCAGGCCCTTAGTGTCCAGGCCCTTAGTGTCCAGGCCTTTAGTGTCCAGGCCCTTAGTGTCCAGGCCCTTAGTGTCCAGGCCCTTAGTGTCCAGGCCCTTAGTTTCCAGGCCCTTAGTGTCCAGGCCCTTAGTGTCCAGGCCCTTAGTGTCCAGGCCCTTAGTGTCCAGGCCCTTAGTGTCCAGGCCCTTAGTGTCCAGGCCTTTAGTGTCCAGGCCCTTAGTGTCCAGGCCCTTAGTGTCCAGGCCTTTAGTGTCCAGGCCCTTTGTGTCCAGGCCCTTAGTGTCCAGGCCTTTAGTGTCCAGGCCCTTAGTGTCCAGGCCCTTAGTGTCCAGGTCTTTAGTGTCCAGGCCCTTTGTGTCCAGGCCCTTAGTGTCCAGGCCCTTAGTGTCCAGGCCCTTAGTGTCCAGGCCCTTAGTGTCCAGGCCCTTAGTGTCCAGGCCCTTAGTGTCCAGGCCTTTAGTGTCCAGGCCCTTAGTGTCCAGGCCTTTAGTGTCCAGGCCCTTAGTGTCCAGGCCCTTAGTGTCCAGGCCCTTAGTGTCCAGGCCCTTAGTGTCCAGGCCCTTAGTGTCCAGGCCTTTAGTGTCCAGGCCCTTAGTGTCCAGGCCCTTAGTGTCCAGGCCTTTAGTGTCCAGGCCCTTAGTGTCCAGGCCCTTAATGTCCAGGCCCTTAGTGTCCAGGCCCTTAGTGTCCAGGCCTTTAGTGTCCAGGCCCTTAGTGTCCAGGCCCTTAGTGTCCAGGCCCTTAGTGTCCAGGCCTTTAGTGAAGATAAGCGCTGCTTATCTTCAGCGGTCTGATGAGATCTGGCTTTAACCTGCAGGTGGCGCCACAAAGTATGGATAAATGGGCTTCTACCACCAACAGAAGGTGTGGAGATTTTTTATTTTTTTCCAAAGAACGTTTTGTCTCGGGGGTAATCGCTAAAACTAGTGTGGAGAGAATATGTTGTTTTAAACGGCAAAATCACAGCTCTGAACATGAAGTAACAGGTTTGAGACCAAGTTGTTCTGTAGTTACAGGAAAACCGTCAAAAACACAACGGGACACATTCTGTTTCCATTCAACTGTGGTTTGAAGTTGTTTTTCTCTTGTCACGGGCCAGGCCCTTAGTGTCCAGGCCCTTAGTGTCCAGGCCCTTAGTGTCCAGGCCTTTAGTGTCCAGGCCCTTAGTGTCCAGGCCCTTGGTGTCCAGGCCCTTAGTGTCCAGGCCCTTAGTGTCCAGGCCCTTAGTTTCCAGGCCTTTAGTGTCCAGGCCCTTAGTGTCCAGGCCCTTAGTGTCCAGGCCTTTAGTGTCCAGGCCCTTTGTGTCCAGGCCCTTAGTGTCCAGGCCCTTAGTGTCCAGGCCCTTAGTGTCCAGGCCTTTAGTGTCCAGGCCCTTAGTGTCCAGGCCCTTAGTGTCCAGGCCTTTAGTGTCCAGGCCCTTAGTTTCCAGGCCTTTAGTGTCCAGGCCCTTAGTGTCCAGGCCCTTAGTGTCCAGGCCTTTAGTGTCCAGGCCCTTTGTGTCCAGGCCCTTAGTGTCCAGGCCCTTAGTGTCCAGGCCCTTAGTGTCCAGGCCCTTAGTGTCCAGGCCTTTAGTGTCCAGGCCCTTAGTGTCCAGGCCCTTAGTGTCCAGGCCCTTAGTGTCCAGGCCTTTAGTGTCCAGGCCCTTAGTGTCCAGGCCTTTAGTGTCCAGGCCCTTAGTGTCCAGGCCCTTAGTGTCCAGGCCCTTAGTGTCCAGGCCCTTAGTGTCCAGGCCTTTAGTGTCCAGGCCCTTAGTGTCCAGGCCCTTAGTGTCCAGGCCCTTACTGTCCAGGCCCTTAGTGTCCAGGCCCTTAGTGTCCAGGCCCTTAGTGTCCAGGCCCTTAGTGTCCAGGCCCTTAGTGTCCAGGCCCTTTGTGTCCAGGCCCTTTGTGTCCAGGCCCTTTGTGTCCAGGCCCTTAGTGTCCAGGCCTTTAGTGTCCAGGCCCTTAGTGTCCAGGCCTTTAGTGTCCAGGCCCTTTGTGTCCAGGCCCTTAGTGTCCAGGCCCTTAGTGTCCAGGCCCTTAGTGTCCAGGCCCTTAGTGTCCAGGCCCTTAGTGCACCATGCCACGCCCCCCTCATCAATGGACCTTTTCTGGGTCCTGTCGAGGTGGGCTCTGCCTGTAGCCACCATTCCCATTCCTTTTGTGCACATTTGAGTTTGTCTTTTGTTTTATGCACCACACACCTGCACCACACTACTGATTACAACATGCTCACTCCTCATACCTTGTTTTTGTTAATGTTAAACTTGTCTTTGGTTATCATTAAATAAAGTTTTTGCACTTTTTACCCGCGTTTCGCCTCTCTATTTGTTTTGGCTCTGAGCCGGCTGTAACACTCTTTTGTATTGATTCACATCCGACATGGACAGGACTGAAGGACAAGGCAGGACTGGAAAAGGAAAGACAAGATTCATAAACAAACTCAAAATAACAACATTCAGAAATAAATAAATAATAACGATTACATAAAGTTTACACTGGGGGAAAAAACCTTTTTAAAAAAAAACAAAATGAAAATAATTAAAATATCGCTTAGAATAATAAAAACAATCTGTCAATAAAACAAGAAATTATGACTAAAGATTTCTGAAAATAAATAAAAAATAGTAGCCCCAAATAATTTGATAAAGGCGATAAAAACATACATTTAAAATATTATTTACTAATTTTCAAAAATTGCAATAAGTATAAACAAGTTAAGAAAGTTCAGGGGTTTTTATTGTTTATTTTTATTTTTTTACATTTTTTCTTGAAGTCTTTTTCTTCAAGTCTGCAAATTATATAAGTTTTAACGGCTCAGACTTTTTTCTCTAATAAGATTATGAAGTAATAATCTTACATGACAAACTACATTCTAGCAAAAACAAACTTCCCATTAAAAAAAATAAGCATCATTCATGTTATTTTTGGTAAATTAATCTTACAGAGACATGACTATTTTCTGTGTTGCATAAAATAACCTGGATGTGTGAATTCTCTCGACTGAGGTTTAACTTTACTTCCTGTATATTTAAATTCCATCAATCTGAAAGTGGTTGCTATGGCGATGCAGCATCTCTCACTGTTCAAGAGGGAATCTTTGAAGACGGAGGTTTGTGTAGTTTTTAGACCTGAGGTATTTCTGCTTCTCAGAGGTTGATGTTGAGAACATTATTTTGAGTCTGGCTTATTTCTATTTATTTCTAGCTTCCAGAGATTCTTTTGGCACGAGGCAAAAGCAAAACATTGGAAAGAGCAGAGTGACGGGAGCATCGCAAAAGGCCCTGGGCTCTGCTCCTCCAGCTGCTGTCGCTACGGCAAAAACATGACAGAGGGAACTGAAAAAGTGTAGATTTGTGTGAAAGAGAAAGGGGAGACCAGGAGGAGACCGGGAGGAGACCAGGAGGAGACCAGGAGGAGACCGGGAGGAGACCAGGAGGAGACCAGGAGGAGACCGGGGGAAGATCAGGAGGAGACCAGGAAAAGACTAGGAGGAGACCAGGGGAAAACCCAGGAGCAGACCAGGAGAAGATCAGGAGGAGACCAGGAGGAGCCCAGGAGAAAACCGGGAGGAGACCAGGGGAAAACCCAGGAGGAGACCAGGGGAAGACCTGGAGGAGACCAGGAGGAGACAAGGGGAAGACTGGGAGGAGACCTGGAGGAGACCAGGAGGAGACCGGGAGGAGACCGGGAGGAGACCGGGAGGAGACCGGGAGGAGACCGGGAGGAGACCGGGAGGAGACCGGGAGGAGACCTGGAGGAGACCAGGAGGAGACCAGGACATGTGGGAGAGACTATGTCCATTATGTAAAAGATAATGACAGCAGGTCTTGGTAATATTTGTGTTGGGAAACGCCAAAGGTATTTATGAAACAAAAAAATGTTTTCAGATTATTCCGTTGAGAATCGTTGAGTTGCAGCTGACGTGAGAAAGTCCTCCGAGAAACACAAAGTCAATGAGGAGCCGTTAAGAACCCCAGAAATCTGATTCTGTATCGAGAGGCTCATGTTCTGGGTCGTGTAAAGTCGTGGATAACGCTCGAATCAAGTGAAGAAATAAGTCTCTATTTTACTGGATATTTTTTAGGCAAATACATAAAAAGGAACGGATGAAATACATTAGCTGTTAGCTTACCACTGCGGAGATTTCCCCTGGAGCTGAAGTCTAAGCTGTTTTCAATTTACTGCTAAACAAGTCACAGCAATGACAATAAAGGGTCATCTTTCTCACCTCAACTGTTGTTAAAAGCAACATTTATACCATATTTATCGAAGTATTGATCAGAACTTTAATCTCAGACGTGGCTTCTGTTGATCCCAGAGTGACTCCTCTTAATCTCCTCATTGTTAAAAGATCACACAAAGCTGTGAAAAGCTTCTTTATGGCTGTTTCTTGTATCGCCTTGTCTCACTATTAAGAGAAAAACACTTCCTGTTCTATGCCCAATGCCACGCCCCTTTATAATAATAATAATATCCATCCATCCATCCATTTTCTTCCCCTTAATCAATTTCTGGGTCGGGGGGGTGACAGTCAGAGCTGCACCCAGTTCACTTAGCGAGAGTCAGACGTAGCGCCACCTCCTCATCTGCATGTTCTGTATCAAAACAAAGGCCTTGTCCGTTGAGTTTCGCATCTGACACACTCCGACAGCAGAGAAACAGGAAGTAACGGAGGACTGAGCCGGAGCTGAAGTGTCAGGACCGTGACGAGGGAGCAGAAGGCCGCGTGGAGCAGGATATTAATGTGACAAAAACAACTATTTTGTGGAACAGACAAGGCCACGTGCGTCTCTGTTTGGGCCGATAACAGCTCTGTCGACAGTCTTTTCATAAAACAGGCTCAAATGTTGTGTTGGGATTTTAGAATGAAGTTTGTTTAACAGAAAATTAACAAAGAAAACTGGTCAGTACCAAAGTTTCCGTGTTTCCTTCAAGAGCAAATTGTGTTTAATTAGAAATGTAATATATGTCCAGATGTTTTAATGAACATAAAGAACACATGTTTCTAGTGATTAAACAATTCAATTATTATTATTATTTTCTGTATAACACTAAATCACATCAGCAGTGGTCCCTAAGGACTTAACGAAGTGGTCGATTCACCAACAACAGGTCAGAAATCAAACACTTCGAACAAAGGGAGTGCAATAATGACAAAGACATAGAGCTTTTTCCTGAAACACCAAAGCCGTGTCTTTGATGACGGAGCAGCCATCTTCCCGTGGACCCATCACCTGCAGGAGGGTCAGCGAGGGGCTGGTGCTTTGAGCATTGGGGGGTAGCTCTGATTGTCACTCCCAACCTAAAAATGTTCTTATAAAGTTGAAGACTATCACATGACATGTGTTGCCATAAATGATTTGACCGACGTGTTCAGAATTTGGTACAGAAATAAGGCCAAGATTCCAAGAGTTCCAATAGTACATGTATTTCTCTTTACAATTAAATGTTGATACAGAACTCCTGGAGCTACTCCCTAAATCTCTATCCCTGTGCTCTAACTATTATTACTATTGTTTATTCTGACACCTCTTCTTAGCGACACTTTAACCTATAGCTCCTTGAATCCAATGACATTATAGCTCCAGACTATTTCATTCTATTCTATTATTATTATATGATCTATTATCTTAAAGAGTAGATCTGTTTGATGTTATAAGCGCTATTATTTCTCCTTTTGAATTTGCACCACACTAAATTTAGAATGACCCCCTATGGGACAAATAAAGAATTTTATTTTATTTTGGCAACTCCGAAAATTATTTAATAATTTTTCCATTTTGCTTTTAGGCTGCCCTTTCCATTATTTATTTGTTCTTGTAAATATATGTTTTACACTTCTTTCTAATGATTAGAAGGTTAAGGACCATGACCACCTATGACAATAACATTACAATACATGACATAGGAGGCATTGGTCCACAGGGAGCGGGATGACCACCATAAGTGCTAATAAATGTGCATAAATGTCCCGGATCAGACCTGTCTCCATCGGCAAGAAACGACGTAAGAAAATACCTAAACAATGAGTGGGGAAAAAGTGAGAAACCACAGAGAGTCCCACAATGAGAGAGAAATCCACCCCCACAGACGCCCAGGCTTCTCCAAGTACCATACTCTGGACTATCAAGAGACCTGTAGCTGCACCAGTAACATTTGAAAATAAAATCTATTTTGTTCATGTATAGGCCGCAGGTTTTCATGTTGTAATGTGGCAGATAGACAATGATTTAATGACTTGGTTCTAACAGTTTGTTGTTAGCCTCCATGCTATATTCACCGTCATCTATCTTTCTATCTTGACATTAAACCAGTGTCCTATAGCTCCTTAAATGAGATGGAGTCAAAATAAATCCATAAACTCTGCTCTGAAAACTCTTAATACAATATGAAATACAGATATTTGACGCACCGCTATAGGTAAGAGAGACCGTTCTCATAAATAATCGCAGGTATCAAAAAAGCGGCTTAAAGTCAAGTGATTTATGTATGATCAATAAATAAATATGATATTCTTTTACTACTTTAAAAAACATGTATATTACCCGAAGGGGAGTGGACTTATGGAATGAATTAACGGATTGTCTTAAAGACCTTATGCCGGGTTTGATTTATTTAGAAATACAGTTTTAATACCATTTTATATTAGAAGAGAACTACTAAAGGTTTCAAAATCTGTTGTTGTTTTTTTTGTCTGATCCCCCCAAATCGAAATAACCCCATAGCAACGCCCTTAGAGACGAAAAAACTTCACAGCCCTTGGTGACGTCAGAGTGGGTACGTTTCAACGCTGTAAGTTGTTTACAATTTGGTATTCGTTTTTTTTTCGCGGATATTCAAGATGACAAGGTCGTGTACAGAGAGTATGATATTAGTACTACATTATAACACTTCATTGTCACTGAGATAGTCCAGTGGTTGTGTCGATGGACTGCCAATCCAGATACTGGGGTTCCAATCCCACCTCGGACACTTTTTCACTCTCAAAACGGCAATTTATGTGTAATGAGCAATTGTCACCTGTAGAGGGCAGTATTGTGTTGGGCATCAGTGGAGAGAAGAGAGAAAAGGCAGTCCCTGTGGCATAGATCCATGGTTTTCAATGCATGGGCGTTACCCGCTATGACGTCACACACAGGTTAGAGCA